TCTATGACCCAAGATCGAAGATCCAAGATTCAAGCTCCAGAATCCAAGCTCCAGAATCCAAGACCCAAGATCGAAGATCCAAGATCCAAGATCCAAGATCCAAGATCCAAGATCCAAGCTCCAGAATCCAAGACCCAAGATCTAAGACCCAAGATCTATGACCCAAGATCTATGACCCAAGATCGAAGATCCAAGATTCAAGCTCCAGAATCCAAGCTCCAGAATCCAAGATCCAAGATCCAAGATCTATGACCCAAGATCGAAGATCTAAGACCCAAGATCTAAGACCCAAGATCTAAGACCCAAGCTCCAGAATCCAAGCTCCAGAATCCAAGACCCAAGATCCAAGATCCAGGATTCAAGCAGAGCAGAAACGAGATCGGCTCTTTACTCATTGCATTCAGTTTTACTTGAATATCCAATACAAGAGAATTTAGGCTAAATCTAAAATATAAAACGTGAAACTTTTACCTGCGAATACACAGATTCAAGCCCACGATCTCTCGCTTACCGGGCAAGCGCTTTACCAATGAGCTTTACCAATGAGCCACACTCGCACGCATCCCATTGCCGTTAGGGTAGAGCCCTATGCCTTACTGGAAGATATTCAGAAATAATTCATTCCTACAAGTGAACTCAGAATCGGGAATTCCGTTTTTTGTGCTGTATTTTAGCTAGATCCAGTACAAAACTTTATTAAGCGCCTAATGTGATACAGTAAGGAGCTACAGGAGCTACAGTAAGCCATTAGGAACTACAGTAATCCATTGGGAACTACAGTAATCCATTAGGAACTACAGTAATCCATTGAGAACTACAGTAATCCATTGAGAACTACAGTAATCCATTAGGAACTACAGTAATCCATTGAGAACTACAGTAATCCAGTACTATATCTTTACAAACTAGTGGCCAACTAAACCTTGCACCGGTCCAGGTTATAGCTTGATCTTGTCTGAGCTTGTCTGTTGACTTGAGCTTGTCCTTAGATCTGTAGTGTAATTCTAGTATTGTTGTCCAAGTATTACAGTAGTACAAGGGTCCAAGTACTAGGGTTGAGAACAGACTTTTGTCTTTTTCAAACGTCTCCCTTCCAGTGCACCTTCTTAGGAAATTGAGGTATTGCACTAGAACTAGAAGAACTTTCTAGTGTGCACTAGAAAGCGTGTGTTTACAAGTGAGCTGAGTCTCTAAAGGAGTCCATAAACGAATCTCTAAAGGAGTCCATAAAGAGGAGTCTCTAAAGGAGTCCTCTTTATCCTACAGTAAGCCTACAGTAACCATTTAGGGACTCCTAAAGACTCCCTAAATGGTTTCCCAATGGAATTTTCATTTGCTAAAGCTTTGCAACAAAGCTAAGGCTTTGCAACAAAGCTAAAGCCAACAACAAAGCTATCCAGCAATCGAAAAAGCTCAGCAGAAAGCTCAGCAAGAAAGCTTTTGTTTTTCCAGAGCTCTGATCGTTTCCCCATTCATCGTAAATCTTTCTCGTTTACTCGTTTTCGCCTTTTCCCTTAAGGGAAAAGATACAAGGTCATTGTTTAGAGTCTCTCTTTCGAATCTTTACCGTTTAAGCAAATTCTATAGGCTATTTGATTGGGATTTGATGGGATTTGATGAGGTTTTGTTGGAAGATTGAAAAAAAAAAGAAAAAAATGAAAAAGCTATAGAATGGAGTGTCTATAGACATAGAATGTTTATAGAATGTCTATAGCTGTCTATAGACATTCTACAGCTACAGTACTTTACCATAAGCACAAAAATTTGTATTAATGTGTTATCGAGAAATCGAAAAAAAAGAAAAAAAAAAGATCAAAAACGCGGTTAATGGAAGAAAACCCGGTTATTGAGAGACCGTTTTGCTGGCTAGATGGCCAAGTGGTTAGCGAGCTCGTATCTAGTCCGAAGGGTTGAGGGTTCGAATCCGCTTCGGGCCGGATTTTTTGAAACCAGTGGGAAAGGCCCGAAAAACCCGATTGATGGAATAAAACCCGGTTATTACCAGACTGTTTCGCTGGCTAGATGGCCAAGTGGTTAGCGAGCTCGTATCTAGTCCGAAGGGTCGAGGGTTCAAAAGCCCTCCCGGTCGGACAAGGTTTTTTGAACTATCGGGAAAAATCCGATTGATGGGATAAAACCTGGTTATTGCAGACGGTCTCACGGTCCAGATGGCCGAGTGGTTAGGAAGCTCGTCTCAGGTCCGAGGAGTCGAGGGTTCGAATCCGCTTCGGGCCAGATTTTTTGAAACTATCGGGAAAATCCGATTGATGGGATAAAACACAGTTATTGCCAGACACCCTCAAGGCCCAGATGGCCGAGTGGTTAGGAAGCTCGTCTCGAGTCCGAGGGGTCGAGGGTTCGAATCCCCTCCCGGTCGGACAACGTTTTTTGAAACCATCGGGGAAAAATCCGATTAATGGGATAAAACCCGGTTATTGCTGGGCGATCTCAAGGCCCAGATGGCCCAGAAGCTAACAAACTCTGTCTTTTTTTTTCTCTAAAAGCTCTTAAATTCTACGATTATTTTTTAAAACAGAAAAATTCTCATAGTAATTATCAAAATCTCCCCTCAAAATGATATCATTTTTGAGGAAATTCGAGTTTTTTTGGGTTTTTGATGGTTTTTGAGTTTTTTTTGCCTATTTTGATACGGTATTTAGAAGAAAAAGGAAAGTGCAAAGCAATAAAGACAGCGACACGATTGATATGGGAATGAGGGGATCTTGGTTTGGAGAAAATCCTCCTCGAAATGATTGACAATCCCCAAGATACAGTAGTTTTTTCCATCCTTTAGCTGATCCCTCGAGTAGATTATCTACTTAGAAAGAAAATCATCCTTAAATAAAGCTTTTCTAGTCAATTTCAATCAATAAATCCCTTCTCTATAGATATAGAAATGAATAAACTTCATTAAACATGAATAAGGTTCATTAAAACCTAAAAAATACAGTTCGAAGTCAGCTAGCGGACTCGAACCAGACCCCTCGACCTCCCCCCTCTCGCCTCCCATCCTAACTCACTGCCACTCGGCCACCGCTGCCATTCGATCAGCCGAGAAAAAAAGGGCTCTAAAGTCTCGCCTTGATTTTTTTGACAAAAATTGAATTGAAGATAGAGGACGCTTTTCAGTTAAAGCGGTCTTTTTTTTTCTCCGACCGATATGCAGCCGTGGTATAGTGGATAGTAGAAAGGTCTCTCGGTCAAAAGACCCGGGTTCAATCCCGCCCTCGACTCTTCCTCTTTTTTTTTCTTTAAATATTCTCTCATATTCTTTGCAGACTGTAAAATATGATAGAAAAATAGAAAATGAATGTTTTAAAGGGTTTATCGCTGATTTAAAAGCTGAGATGAAAGCTGATATGAAAGCTGATTTAAGAGTCGATTTAAGAGGAGAGTTAAGAGGAGAGTTAAGGGTCGAGTTAAGAGTCGATTTAAAAGCCTTTCAAGCCTTAAAGCCTGAGCCTAAGCCTAAGCCTAAGCCTAAGCCTAAGCCTAAGCCTTAAGCCTAAGCCTAAGCCTTAAAGCCAAGCCTTAAAGCCAAGCCTTAAAGCCAAGCCTTAAAGCCAAGCCTTAAAGCCAAGCCTTAAAGCCAAGCCTTAAAGCCAAGCCTTAAAGCCAAGCCTTAAGCCTTTCAAGCCTTCTCGTACTTTCAATGGTATTCTTCTATTATTTGTTGATGGGTTTAAATTTGATTGAAAGTCTAAGCCGAAAATCTCAGCCGAAAATCTCAGCCAAAAATCTAAGCCTTTAAACCTAAATTTAAACCTAACAAGAGTCATTTCTTTTGCCATTTTTTTTGCCTTTTCTTTACTTATTCATCTTATTATTCATCAATCGCCAAAAAAAAAGATCGAATTGTCGGCTTTTCTTTGTTCTTTTCTTTTCTTCTTTGAGCTACTTTAATGAACTTTCTCTATTGAGAATCTTGGCATTTGAATCGAAAGAAAAGAGGAAAAGAATCGTTTAAAAGCCACTACAGAACCCGCAACTACCGCAAAAATGTTTTCTCAATGATTTTTGAATAAATCTCTAAAATCTATTTGATAAATCATATCAAAATCTCTCCCTATCACTTTCTCAAAACACATTTCGCAATTCCAGAGCTGAGCACCGATGCACCAGGCAGTATGAGTGAGGGAATCGATTTCGAGCTGAACACACAGGTTTCAAAACTTTTAATTCATTATTTAGCAGTTTTACAGTTTTGATTATTTAATAGTTTAACTTCATTATTCGATCTTGGAGGTTATTGGAGGGAGAGGGGGTCCAGCGATTATCGGGAGTGGAAGGGGCGCGGGATGGGGCATGGGGGGCGATGGGAGCGAGGGGGCGCCGCGGAGGTGAAGGGGGGGCTTGGGAGGGGATCGAGCCGGCGGAGGGGGCAGGTGGCGCCATTAGGCGAGGCGGGCGAGGGGGCGCGGGAGGGGGCGCAGAAGGGGATGCGGGAGGGGATGCGGGAGGGGATGCGGGAGGGGACGCGGAGGAGAGGGCGCGGGAGAGGGCACGGGGCGGAGGGGGGTAGGGGGCGCTGGGGAGGCGATAGGGGCGTGGGGGGGCATGGGTCCGCCGCGGAGATGAGGGGGGCTTGGAAGGGGACGCAGGGGGCAGGTGGCGCCGTGAGGCGGGGCGGGCGAGGGGCGCGAGAGGGGGGCGGAAGGGCGCAAGGGGATAGAGGGGGCAGGTGGTGCCGTGAGGCGAGGCGGGGCGGGCGAGGGGGCGCGGGAGGGGGGCGGAGGGAGGTAGGGGTCGCCGTGGAGGCCAGGGGGGGCGAGTTTTAGACCATTTTGCGGCCCTATTTTAGATAGATTTTGTTAATAACTTTTGATAAAACGAACATTTTCTGAAAGCTGACGTTCTAAGCTATCTAAATCTTATAAAAACTTGCTGGTTTGACAAGTTTAAGGCGCTTAAAAAGGAGGTGAAAGCTGGCGAAAAATCCGACATTTTTAAGACAGTTTTAAACGATTGAAATGAATGCCTAGAATGAGCTTCCAACTCCAATGGATCTATCAAGAAAGAAGGCTCGATTAGAAGAAGAAAATGAGCGATACGATTCACCAATCGGCGATCAGAAAGGGATTTTCGAGGACAAGAGCAATCTACTCTTGCAGCAATTGGGAATCGCTCCGCAACAGGTTTCAAATAAATTTTAGAGTAGATCTTAGCGTCTACTTTAAAAACTAATTCAAGAAAAATCGATCTTTAACTTTTTCAGCTCACTTTTTATGCTTTATGCTCAATTAAATTGATTAGAAAATCTAGATTTTGACTCTGTACCAACAGCTGGCTCGGGGCTCCTCAGTCACTTCACAAGACAGCGATGGAGTCGCGCAATTGGATGGTGGGGGATTAGAAAAGAAAATTGAGAATCTTATTAAAGTTTATAGTGCTTTAAACTTAAGAATGATCTAGAAAAATCGAAAATTTTAAGATTCAAGTCCGCTCACGTCGAACAGCGCTACGCCACGTCAACTGGAGTCATTTCAGTGTCCATTTGAGACGTGTGAAGAGGTATGGGAAAGCTGCTGGCTGCCTGGCTGGCTGTCTGTCTATCTGTTGTCCGTCCGTCTGTCCGTCTGTCCGTCTGTCCGTCCGTCTGTCTGTCTGTCTGTCCGTCTGTCTGTCCGGCTATCTGTTGTCTGTCCGTCTGTCTGTCTGTCCGTCTGTCCGTCCGTCCGTCTGTCTGTCTGTCTATCCGTCTGTCTATCCGTCTATCTGTTGTCCGTCCGTCTGTCCGTCTGTCGGTCTGTCCGTCCGTCTGTCTGTCTGTCTGTCCGTCTGTCTGTCCGGCTATCTGTTGTCCGTCCGTCTGTCCGTCTGTCGGTCTGTCCGTCCGTCCGTCTGTCTGTCTGTCCGTCTGTCTGTCCGGCTATCTGTTGTCCGTCCGTCTGTCCGTCTGTCGGTCTGTCCGGCTATCTGTTGTCCGTCCGTCTGTCCGTCTGTCTGTCCGTCTGTCCGTCTGTCAGATTTCCATGTAGTTGTGAATCTTTCAAAACTAAAAGCGGGCGGGAGTCGAACCCTGGATCGTTTTGGGCTAGAGAAAGGGCTAGACAAGGGCGCTTTCACTGTGCCATAAACTGGCCGAGTGGTTAACGCGCGGGTCTCTCAAACGAACGGAAGGAGAGGACACGGCCCCTTTTGCTCCGGCTCCTTTTGCGACTCCTTTTGCCGCCAATTCTCTAGCTTTTCTCGACAGACAAACAGACAGACAGACAGACAGACAACAGACAGACAGACGGACAACAGACAAACAGACGGACAAACAGACAGACAAACAGACAAACAGACAAGCAGACAGACAGACAGACAAACAAACAGACAGACAAACAGACAGATAACAGACAACAGACAAGACAAGTACAACCTAATATAAGCCTAGATCAAATCTATGTTATATTTCTGTTCATAACTGAAGTTCATAGACTCTTTAAAAAAATACCGACTGGGGCTACCAGTGGTGAATTTATCGCATACACGAAATATATCAATCACAATACAACGACACACACAATACTAGGCTATATCTTAACTTAACCCACGTCATGACAGACGGCTCCCTAACCCTAAGCTCAATGGGGAACTAAATAGCTTTTTTGGTGGTGAAGGGAAGATGACGATGAAGGAGTGGCTTGTCACTTTAAAGAACTGGGGCCACAACCACCAGACTGCCCTCCAGAAAACCTCTCAACCCGAAGGGAAAGGAAATCCGAAGGGGGTGACCATGTCGCATGTGGGGTTCGAACCCTCGACCTTCCGATTAAGATAAAAGACACTTAACCAGTCAGCCACACGTGCTATTTAAGGTCTAAAAAGGCCTAAAAAGGCCTAAAAAGGTCTAAAAAAGGTCTAAAAAGGTCTAAAAACAGTGTTCTTTTAGATTTACCCATCAAAGGGTAGCCTGATGTGGCACGTTGATTTAACGCATCAACAAGAAAAATTGATGGAGTGTGGAGAGTGTGGTGATCGAGCGGATAGTCAAGAGGTCAGCTGCGTTTAGAAGCTCAGAAAAGCACAGTAAATAATTGCTAAGCATTGCTAAGCATTGCTAGGCATTGCTAGGCATTGCTAAGCATTGCTAGGCATTGCTAAGCATTGCTAAGCATTGCTAAGCATGCTAAGCATTGCTAGGCATTGCTAGTGCCTACTGTTTCTCCATTCTCCATCTTTCCAGTCCATTCTTTTACTGTTTTTACTGTTCTTAGAGCCCGATTTCTTAGCATTATAAGAACAAAAGGTTTTTCCAAACAAACAACAAGTTTTTTGCCGAAAAACCGATCATAGATTTATTGATTGATCCTTTGGGAATCTCTTGAGCTTTTTGTTATCAATATTTGACTGTAATGACTGTAATGATGCGGATTAAGATGCGTAAACATCGATGTTTCTTTCCGCAAAGATCTGCATCGACATCAAACATCGAGCGACGAGATGACGATGAGGATGAGAGGAGAAGTGTGCCGCCGTTGATCAGCTGGTTCGTTAGATTTCGGATTTCGGATTTCAGATTTTCAGTTAGCAGTTTTACTAGATTTACTAGCTTTACTAGATTTACTAGCTTTATTAGCTTTACTAGCTTTACTAGCTTTACTAGCTTTATTAGCTTTATTAGCTTTATTAGCTTTACTAGATTTACGATTTGGTTTACGGTGTCTTGATCATTTTATAGAAAGTAGTTATTCTAGAGATTGATTCTAGAGATTCTAGCGATTCTAGTGATTCTAGAGATTCTATTAGGTTGATGCAAAAGTCTTTTTCATTTTTTTCGTACTTCCGTTAAAAAGTAACAAATGCACGAATTGAAAAACGGTTTATTGCATTCGAAAGGCCAATGATTTTTCTGCAAAATGACATTAAAACGAGTTTAAAATGTCTTATGTCTAGATTTTTTTGAGAGCCTGAAGTCGGGTAGTCAAAAAAGGCGACGGCTCGATGATGCATTTTCGACGCTCTAGCTAAGGAAACCAATCTTGATGTTAATAAATAAAAGATAGAGCACAAAAAGTTCGATATTTTTTCAGATTTTCAGAGAAATTGATTCAGCCAATTTCTTTATAGAGGTTTTTATAGATTTATTATGAAAAAACCCGTTTTCACTCTCGAATTTGCTTGAAAGTGAACCCAAATTGACTTAAAAAGATGGGAAATTGAACAATAAACACTTTTCATTTAGAGCAAACCATAGGTTAATTCATGACTTTGTTATTTTTCAAAAGAAGTACGAAAAAAATGAAAAAGACTTTTGCATCAACCTAATAGAGAGCCTGGAGAGTCTAGAGAGTCTAGAGAGTCTAGAGATTCTAGTGATTCCAGCGATTCTAGTGATTCTAGAGATTCTAGAGGTTCTAGAGATTGATTCTAGAGATTCTAGAGATTCTAGAGGTTCTAGAGATTGATTCTAGTGATTCTAGAGATTCTAGAGGTTCTAGAGATTGATTCTAGAGATTCTAGAGATGGATTCTAGAGATTCTAGAGTCTAGAGATTGGTTCTAGTTTCTAGAGATTGATTCTAGAGAGTCTAGATAGTCTAGAGATGGATTCTAGAGATTCTAGAGTCTAGAGATTGGTTCTAGTTTCTAGAGATTGATTCTAGAGAGTCTAGATAGTCTAGAGATGGATTCTAGAGATTCTAGAGTCTAGAGATTGGTTCTAGTTTCTAGAGATTGATTCTAGAGAGTCTAGATAGTCTAGAGATCGATTCTAGAGATTCTAGAAAGTGATCAAAACAGTTTTGAAATTCATTTCACTTTCAGCCCTTTTACAGCCATTTGAAAGAGCTCAGCGAAGCCTGGGCGACGAAAAAAAAGTGCCTAAATCACGTGTCAATAGTTTTTTTTGTTTAACGAAAGCCCTTGATACTTAGCTAATTATAGAGGAAAATAGAAAACTTCCCGGACAAGTTCCAGCGAATCCATGAGAATCCCTCAATTCTATTCAATCATTCATTTGTTTTCCAGCAATTTCTCATTGGTGAAACCGTGTTCGTCGACGGAACGCGTGCCAAATTTATGGGAGACACTTTTCCAAAGGAATCCACTCGCTTTCCCCGATGGAATCCATCCAATCGATCTCTCGTCGCCCGCACATCCGGCAATATTTCCCGGATTCTCAGGTGGGATCTTGAAACGACTGCAAAAGTAATTACTTAATGAGGCCTGAATAAGGCCTGAATGAGGCTTGAATGAGGCCTGAATGAGGCTTGAATGAGGCCTGAAGGCTTGAATGAGGCTTGAATGAGGCCTGAATGGAGTTTTGCCATCAAGCCATCAGCCATCAGCCTAAGCCTGAGCCTGAGCCTGAGCCTAAGCCTAAGCCTGAGAGCCTAGGCCTGAATGAGGCCTGAATGAGGCCTGAATGAGGCCTGAATGAGGCTTGAATGAGGCCTGAATGGAGTTTTGCCATCAAGCCATCAGCCTAAGTCTAAGCCTGAGCCTGAGCCTGAGCCTAAGCCTAAGCCTGAGAGCCTAGGCCTGAATGAGGCCTGAATGAGGCCTGAATGAGGCCTGAATGAGGCCTGAATGAGGCCTGGATGGGGCTGAATGAGGCCTGATAGAGGCTACGGCTTTCCCCTCACTACAAACTACAAGATCAGACAATAAACGCTTCGATTCACTACAAGATACTTAAGATCAAAGCCTTAAACCTTTAGGCTTTCCACCGTCACCTTTCCCTCATGGACTCCCAGGTTTACCCCCGAATCCATGTGAGTTTAAAAGCCTTTACCAATGCACAAATTAGATATGAACACTATAAACTACAAACGATACTATAAACGATATTACGAACGATACTATAAACGATATTACAAACGATACTATAAACGATGCTACAAAACTCCAAATGAAATTTTAAACGCTTAGAACTTTCTTTAAATCTATCCAATTTAGATGATCTATAGCTTAAAAGATAGCCAAAAACAAGTGCTTTTAAATGAACTAAAGCAGATTGAAAAATATTAATTCTAAAGAAAGTTATAGTGGTTTAAAGCCAATCACTTCAACGTCCGGTCCGTTTCGATTCCAACGACTATAACTTTCTTTAGAATTAATATTTTTCAAATCTGCTTTAGTTCATTTAAAAGCTCTTGTTTTTGGCTATCTTTTAAGCTATAGATCATCTAAATCAAACAGATTTAAAGAAAGTTGCAAGCGTTTGAAGTTTCATTTATAGTTTACGCTTGTCTTTTATAGTGTAGAGTTATTTTTCGAGTTTTTGGTAGTTTAAATGTTTCTAAATATTTCTGTAAACGTGCCTAAAACGTGCGTGATCTCTGTAAACGCATAAATCTGGTGCAATTGAATATTATTTAGTCTTGATGCGTGCCGGTTTCCCGCCAGGAGGTGACCTTTTCTCGGGTGGGGCACTCGCTAATGAGGATGACTGGGAGAGCTTGATGGAGGTCTCAAATACAGGTATTAGAGGTGGAATAGAGGTGGAATCGAGCTGGATTTGAATTGGAATCGAATCCAATCGATTTCTAATGCTAGCTCGACTTCTAGCCCTTCCTTTTCCCATCAATCAAATCCACCAACCACTCGCTGAACGTTTAGATGAAGCGGAAAAGATTCGAGCTTTGGTCGGCGATAAACCCCAGCCAACAACCGATCCAAATCAATGCATTCTCTGTCGACGAGTTCTCTCGTGTAAAAGCGCTCTACAAATGCATTATCGAACGCATACAGGTCAGCGAATTATCTTCAAATTTCATTGCATTTCAATCGCATTTCAATCTCATTTCAATCTCATTTCAATCTCATTTCAATCTCATTTAAATTTCAATTTCAATTCCATTTCAATTTCATTTTAAACCCCAACCATTCTTCAGGCGAGCGTCCATTTAAATGCAAGATTTGTCAACGAGCTTTCACAACAAAAGGCAATCTAAAGACACATATGGGTGTGCACAGGTGAGCGGAAAAGCTTTGTTAAGCTTTACTGAGTTTTGCTAGGCTTTGCTAGGCTTTGCTAAGCTTTGGTAAGCTTTGCTGGCTTTGGTAAGCTTTGTTAAGCTTTGCTAGGCTTTGCTAGGCTTTGCTAGGCGTTGGTAAGCTTTGTTAAGCTTTGGTAAGCTTTGGTAAGCTTTGGTAAGCTTTGGTAAGCTTTGATAAGCTTTGCTAGGCTTTGCTAGGCTTTGCTAGGCTTTGCTAGGCTTTGCTAAGCTTTGTTAAGCTTTGGTAAGCTTTGTTAAGCTTTGGTAAGCTTTGATAAGCTTTGCTAGGCTTTGCTAAGCTTTGTTAAGCTTTGTTAAGCTTTGCTAAGCATTGCTAAGCATTGTTAAGCTTTGTTAAGCTTTGCTAAGCTTTGCTGAGCTTTGCTAGGCTTTGGTAAGCTTTGTTAAGCTTTGTTAAGCTTTGCTGGGCTTTGGCAAGCTTTGCTAGGCTTTGCTAGGCTTTGCTAAGCATTGCTAAGCATTGCTAAGCATTGCTAAGCATTGCTAAGCATTGCTAAGCATTGCTAAGCTTTGGCAAGCTTTGCTGGCTTTGCTGAGCTTTGCTGAGCCTTACTGAGCTTTGTTTGATATCTAGATCGATCTTTAAACTTAGATCAATTCATTTTCCAGAGCTAAGCACACTTTTCGTGGCGTCGGTATGGGTCCACCAATGCTGAGCCCAGCGCAACAGTGTCCAATTTGTCAGAAAAGGTTTGAAAAAGATAGAAATGCTTTAATTTCTTTCTTCTACATCTATTCTTTATCTAGTTTTCTTTCTTCAGCTTTATTTTGTTTCTCTAGATTCTTATCTGGCCAACAATTGCAAGCACATATCGCCGAGCACACTCAACAATTGAGAAACCCGTCAATATCCGGCGAGAAATCATCGGCTCCTTATCCCAGATCTCAGCAAATCAATTCGTTTGTTTTTAAGTATATTTAGAGGTCTTTTAAAAGAATCTGTGTACTTTGAAAGAAGCTGGGTCTTTTCAACGAGTCGCCAACTTTGAAGCCCTGTAACTTCTTCCAGAAACAATATTTCTCCTAACTTTTTATATCATTGTATAGAGGAGATTTCAAGCTTTTAAATGATACATAATAGAGCTTGATTGGATAAACGAGTCAAAAACAGAGCCAACTCTAAGCAAACACGGTGACACGATACCCCGAGTTGGATAGGTTAGCTAAGAGTTGGCTCTGTTTTTGACTCGTTTATTCAATCAAGCTCTATTAGGTATCATTTGAAAGCTTGAAATGTCCTCTATACAATGATATAAAAAGCTAGGAGAAATATTGTTTCTGGAAGAAGTTACAGGGCTTCAAAGTTGGCGACTCGTTGAAAAGACCCAGCTTCTTTCAAAGTACACAGATTCTTTTAAAAGACCTACAAACAGCTACAAAAGGCTACAAAAGGCAACAGACAGCTACAAGCAGCTATAAACAGCTACAAGCAGCTACAAAAGGCTACAAATGACTTACCAGACTACAAACGACGTCTGTCTAGTGTCTAAGTCTAGTGTACTTTGTGCCTCTGTAAACACAAATGGTCTATTGCATTGAAATGTGAATACTTTGCAGTCTCCCACCGGGTTTCCCCTTGTTCCCTCTGCCTTTCCCATTCGTCCCTCCATCTCTTCTCACTTCTCCAATCCAACAACGAGACTCAACGCCATCAACGCCAAATTTTTCTGCCCAAAGTCCAGCACCAATATCGGTCTGTTTTCAAGAAGATTTCATTGATTTCATTGTTTTGATTGAATTGATTGAATTGATTGCTTTCATTGCTTTCATTCATTTGATTCATTTCAAACCTTTCTAAAGAATCATTTTCAGACATCAACCCCATTCAATCTGGCCGCTATGCTGGGTTTGAGTGAAAACGGGAAAACAGCTCCTCCTCTGGCAACTCCGACAATTCCGGCAACTCCATCAAATCCATCAAATCCATTAAATCCATCAAACCTATCAAACCTATCAAATCCATCAAATCCACCCCAAATCGAGAGTCCATCAATCCTCTCGACTCAAGCCATCGGAAATCCAATCCTCTCCGCACTTTCGCAATCGTTTGGAATCAAGTTGTGAGTCGTTGAATTGAAAGTCGTTGAAATCGTTGAAAGTCATGTAAAATGCTATTTGTAAATGGTTAAATGTCATTTTTCTTAATTGAATCACTTATCTGGAGATCATGTAAGCTAGATGTCGAAAAATAGAGACGAATTCTTGAAAAATCAAGTCCTGTCTTTTGAGCGCTACGTCCAAAGAAGGTTTAAGGTCGAATTTTGGAGTTAAATCTCATTTTCTTTTAACTGAATGTCTTATCTGGAGGTCATGTAAGCTAGATATCGAAAAAGATAGACAAAGCCGTGAAAAATCGAGTACTCTCGATGGAGCGCTTGAGGTTTAAGAGGTTTAAGGTCAGATTTTGAGGTTAAATCTCTTTTTCTCTTAACGAAATCTCTTAGCTGGAGGTCATGTAAGGTAGATATCGAAAAAGATAGACAAAGCGGTGAAAAATAGAGTGTTCTCGTTGGAGTGTTACGTACTAAAGAGGTTTAAGGTCGATTTTTGGAGTTAAATCTCATTTTCTTTTAACTGAATGTCTTATCTGGAGGTCATGTAAGCTAGATCTCGAAAAAGAAAGACAAATCGATGAAAAATAGAGTGCTCTCGTTGGAGTGTTACGTACTAAAGAGGTTTAAGGTCGATTTTTGGGGTTAAATCTCATTTTCTCTTAACTAAATCTCTTATCTGGAGGTCATGTAAGCTGGAAAACATTGTCAGATATTATAAAATTAGATTCATAAAAAAGCTAAAATTTGCTTCAGTGACCCGGAAGCGAATAAGCCGATCGATTTGAAAATGGAGGTGAAGAATGGAGATTCGGTTTCACCGGGCGGTAGCAGTTCACACGGATCAACGCATGATCAGTCAGTGAATTATAGATTGATAGATTGATAGGCTGTGTCTAGATCTGTCATCTGATCTAGATTTAAATGTTGTAACTTTTAGAACCGATAGCTCATCAGTTGGGCGAGATTCCGAGTCGGAAGAGAAGAAGCCGCCGATGGAAACCGGGGAAACAACGCCAACAAAAAGTCACGAGATTTTCGAGATTCCAAAGGTGAGCTAGATGTTGAAGAAGTGAAGAAGAAGTTGAGAAATTGAAGAAGTTGAAGAAGTTGACAATTCCTACTTGTAAATCCTTCATTTTCTAGTTGAATGGCGAGCGACGAAGCTCAGAAAACCCGTTGGAAGCTATGCAGAAGATGTGGGCTGAGGCAAATGTAAGGAAAGCTATAGGAAAGCTGTAGGAAAGCTGTAGGAAAGCTATAGGGAAGGTATAGATTTTAAGTATAAGATAGATCTAGATATCTAGCTCTATAGATCTAGCTCTAGCTCTAGCTCTCTAACTCTAGCTCTAGCTCTATAGATCTAGCTCTAGCTCTAGCTCTCTAGCTCTCTAACTCTAGCTCTCTAGCTCTATAGATCTAGCTCTAGCTCTAGCTCTCTAGATCTATCTTTCTACAGTACCCCAAGGTACAGAAGTTCAATCAGCATACATTCAAGCCATGTCATTCAATGTCAACTTTCCCGAAGCCTGAAGCTCTGAGATCCTTGCTCAGGCTTTGGTATCTTACTAGATACCATTCCGATATCATCATAGATACAATTCTTATCTCTAAACGACTAGAACTTCTAAAATCTCGTATCCAATCTAATATCTAATCTAATCAATCAATCTAATCAAACCTAGCATCAAATCTAGCATCAAAATCTTTAGACTGAGCCTGCCCCACCTCGACAAATGCCGGTTTTAAGCAAACACCAATGTGGAGTATGTTTCAAGCACTTCAGCTCCTCGTCAGCACTCCAAATTCATATGCGGACGCATACGGGTAAGGAATCCACCTAGTCTAGCTGGCTGACTACTCTAGCTAGCTACTCTAGCTGGTCCCCCTAGCTACTCTAGCTACTCTAGCTGGTCCCCCTAGCTACTCTAGCTACTCTAGCTGGTCCCCCCTAGCTACTCTAGCTACTCTAGCTGGTCCCCCTAGCTACTCTAGCTACTCTAGCTAGCTACTGTACCTATAGCTGAAGCGAACACCGCTCCTCTACCCTTTTTTGCCGGTAATTTAAGGATTTTCTCAGCAAGAACCTTTCAAGTTTGGCTGTAATTCGATGCAGATTCAATGCAGAATAGAATTGCGAATCGAATGCTATCAAAAACAACTCAAAATCTAATATCCACGTAAAGTTATGAAGCAAAAGGTTAAGGGTTTCGTTTTTCGTTGATAACTTTTCATGGATCTTAGCTTTTGAGTTGATTTTGATATCATTCGACGCGGAATTTTCTTCTGCGTTCAATGATAATTAAACTAGTCAAAATGAAATAGTTGGTGGGGAGAAAAACAGGAAAAACTGTTAACTATTGATGGGGAAAAAGGGATGGGTGGTTTTGTGAGAGTCTAGCTCGATCTAGCTTGGTCTAGCTTGGTCTAGCTGCCTTAAAAGCTCTACTAACTACCGTAATCCTTCCCTACAACTACCGTAATCCCTTTCTACAAGCTACCGTAATCCTTTCCCATTCTACTATAACCTTTCCAGGTGACAAGCCATTTAAATGCGAGGTTTGCGGACGAGCGTTCACCACTCGCGGCAATCTTAAAGTACATATGGGCACTCATATGTGGCAACAATCACCATCGAGAAGAGGTAGGATTGAAGGATTTCTCTCAGCCTTTCTCAGCCTCTCTCTCAGCCTCAGTTTTCTCAGCCTCTCTCTCAGCCTCACCCTTCAAACCTAATCCATTCGAAAGCTCTTGTTCTTGGCTATCTTTTAAGCTAAAGATCATCGAAAGGAAATAGATTTAAGCAAAGTTATAAGCTTTTCAAGTTTCAAGTTTTGTTTAGAGTTTTGTTTGAAGTTTTTTGAGAGCTTACGCTTGTCTTTTATAGAATAAAGCTTCTTCTCGGAAAACCTTTACAGTAAAGAACAGATTCAGGTCGTCGAATCTTCGACTGTCCACCAATTGAGAGTGCTCGTCCATCAGCATCGATGCCTCAATTGCCTCCACTCCCACTCGGTCTCCCATTCCCACTCCCGTTCCCATTAACGCCGACGACGCCAACTGGCTCACAAATGGATGCGATGATGATGTTGATGAGGACTGTTTGCTCTGTGTGTCAACGGGTGAGTGGGAAGCTTTCGAGTTAGATGTTGAGAGAGCTGGAGCAGAGCTTGAGCAGAGCTTGAGGAGCTCTTGAACAGCTCTTCAACAGATCGAACAGCTCTTGAGCAGAGCTTGAGCAGATCTTGAGCAGAGCTTGAGCAGAGCTTGAACAGCTCTTCAACAGCTCTTCAGCAGCTCTTCAACAGCTCTTCAATAGCTCTTGAAACAAAGTTGCTAAGATTACAGGAAACCTGACGCTAGACAGCTCTGGAGGCTCTAGAGACAGCTACAGTAGGCTTTAGTAGTCCTTGATCTACAGTAATCTTTAGTAAGCTTATCGTAGTCTCTCTCGTCTACAATAGTTACAGTAATCTTGAAAGCTGTGCGATTGCTACAGGCTCTTGGGCTAGAAAATTCTATAACAAAGATACAGTAGTCTTTCAAGTCATCAAAGCTAAACCTAGGATTACTGTAGCTTCCTAGGGTTACTGTAAAGACTAGGATTACTGTAACTTAACCAGGATTACGGTAACCTATTAGTTACAGTAATCCCAGAAAGGCAAAGCTACAGTAGCCTTTAGACAACGATTCGATTCTAAGCTACAGTAACCCTAGGAAGCTACAGTAACCCTAGGAAGCTACAGTAACCCTAAAGGGAAGCTACAGTAACCCTAAAGGGAAGCTACAGTAACCCTAAAGGGAAGCTACAGTAACCCTAGGAAGCTACAGTAACCCTAAAGGGAAGCTACAGTAACCCTAGGAAGCTACAGTAACCCTAGGAAGCTACAGTAACCCTAAAGGGAAGCTACAGTAACCCTAGGAAGCTACAGTAACCCTAAAGGGAAGCTACAGTAACCCTAGGAGGCTACAGTAACCCTAAAGGGAAGCTACAGTAACCCTAGGAAGCTACAGTAACCCTAGGAGGCTACAGTAACCCTAAAGGGAAGCTACAGTAACCCTAGGAAGCTACAGTAACCCTAGGAAGCTACAGTAACCCTAGGAAGCTACAGTAACCCTAAAGGGAAGCTACAGTAACCCTAGGAGGCTACAGTAACCCTAAAGGGAAGCTACAGTAACCCTAGGAAGCTACAGTAACCCTAGGAGGCTACAGTAACCCTAAAGGGAAGCTACAGTAACCCTAGGAAGCTACAGTAACCCTAGGGAGGCTACAGTAACCCTAAAGGGAAGCTACAGTAACCCTAGGAAGCTACAGTAACCCTAGGAAGCTACAGTAACCCTAGGAAGCTACAGTAACCCTAAAGGGAAGCTACAGTAACCCTAGGAGGCTACAGTAACCCTAAAGGGAAGCTACAGTAACCCTAGGAAGCTACAGTAACCCTAGGAGGCTACAGTAACCCTAAAGGGAAGCTACAGTAACCCTAGGAAGCTACAGTAACCCTAGGAAGCTACAGTAACCCTAAAGGGAAGCTACAGTAACCCTAGGAAGCTACAGTAACCCTAGAAGGACTTGAGATCCTGTAGAACTTCTAAATAGGATTACTGTAGGTCAAAAGTGAGCACCTAAAGGAGAACGGATTTAGATGAGGTTACGGTAGTTTCCCCAGCTCTTTAGAGCCCAATTTCTCGGCTTCTACAGCTACAGTAATCCTCAAATTGCCTAGCTACAGTAAACCTTTTATTTGAAAGTCAATTTCAGGTGTGCTCATCAGCCTCGGAACTCGAGCAACACTTGAAGGGACACTTGAGCGCTCTCGCTCCACCCACACAACAAGAAGCGAATACAGCTGCCGCTAAATGAATCCTATAAATCGATAAATCTACAGTAATCTAGAGGCTACTTATATAGCCAGAAAGGTACGGTAATCCTCCGGAGGTTGTGTAGCTCGTTTGTTCCCCTAACAAGCTACAGTAATCTTTAAAGCTCTATGTGCTGAAAGAGTTTACCGTACCTTATGAAAACACAAATCTCTGAAACCCGTATTTTCAAGAATCTCAACGACGTCTGATCTTTTCATATTTCAAATTTCGCAATTATTTTATTGGCTCCCAATTGGCTTTCATTCTTTTCTTTTTCGTTGTTTTTTTTGATCAAGGAAAGGGAAATGAGAGAGATTTTTCGGTTCTGAGAGCTGAAGCTTTAAAAAGACAGTTTATAGCAGTTTATAGCATCTCGTGCAAATGGAATGTTCGATAACTGCCGTGCCTCACTACATCTAGTACCTAGTTACAGTAGCGTTTATAATTTGGTGCCGTGCAGCGTACTGTATAATACTGTAGCGTAGTATGTACTGTGGAACTGCAGCGTACTGTAGTCGTACTGTACTATGCCTGTACTGTATCATAATATGCTGTAGTACTGTACTATGGTACTGTAGCGTACTGTACTATGCCGTAGTGCTCTGCCGTACTGTACTATGGTACTGTAGCGTACTGTACCATGCCGTAGTGCTCTGCCGTACTATAGCACTGTACTCTACTAGTAGTACTGTGCCGTAGTACTGTGCTAAGCTGCATTGTACTGTCCCGTAGCCTGCCGTACTGTACTGTACAATAGTACGGCTACTACAGTGCGGTAAAATCCGCTACAGTACTGTACGGCTAGTAGTACGGCTAGTAGTACGGCTAGTAGTACGGCTACAGTACTGTACTAGAACCGGTGTCAGCTGTATCCAGCTACCGTAACCCTTTCCAATCCTTTTCATAAAGTCATACAAATAATTTGGAGCATTAGGAGTCAAGTACTATTGTACCAAGGGGAGTCGAACCCCCGACCTCCCGCTCAAGGCTGATGCTGACGCTTTACCACTGAGCTATCGAGCCCCTCTTTACCCAAGAGAAAAAAAGGAAGAAAAGGCAGAGAAGAAGCTGAGAAAGAGAGGCGTTTAAAGCTTTTGATCAACCAAGAAATCGACTCGATTTCCCGAATTTCCTTCGCAATTCCCTCTTTGCACCGATTTTTGCTCCGATTTTGTTTTTTTTTTTTTGTTTCCTCGCTGAATCCTGGTCCTATGTCATCATTTTCTTTCATTTCTTTCATTTTTTTTCCACTTTTTCCACTTTTCCGGTTTCATTTTACACCCTGAATCCAAAATGGTCTCACGATTTCTCAATTTTAAAGTATTTTTCATGGTTTTTTTCATGGTTTTCATGATTTTTCGTCGAAATTCTGCTCTTTTCTCGGTCGCTACCAAAAAAATTGTGCTTTTTTCTGAGGAAAGTTCGTTGATCTAATGATTTCTAATGATTTCTAAGGAGTTCTAATCATTTCTAATGATTTCTGATGAATTCTAAAGGATTCTAATGATTGCTAATGATTTCTAAGGAATTCTAATGACTTCTAAAGGAATTCTAATCATTTCTAATCATTTCTAATCATTTCTAATGATTTCTGATGATTTCTAAGGAATTCTGATGACTTCTAAAGGAATTCTAATGATTTCTAATGATTTCTGATGATTTCTAAGGAATTCTAATGAATTCTACTGATTTCTAAGGAATTCTGATGACTTCTAAAGGAATTCTAATCATTTCTAATCATTTCTGATAACTTCTAAAGGAATTCTAAGGAGTTCTAATCATTTCTAATGAATTCTAATGATTTCTGATGATTTCTAAGGAATTCTGATGACTTCTAAAGGAATTCTAATCATTTCTAATCATTTCTAAGGAATTCTAAGGAATTCTAATCATTTCTAATCATTTCTGATGACTTCTAAAAGAATTCTGATGATTTCTAATCATTTCTGATGATTTCTGATGAATTCTAAAGGATTTCTAATGATTTCTAAGGAATCCTAATCATTTCCAATCATTTCCAATCATTTCCAATCATTTCTAATCATTTCTAACGTTTCTAACGACTTCTAATCTCGATTCTTTTACAATTTACTTCTTATTTACTTCTTATTACTTCTTTTTTTTCTTATTTAGGTAATCTATATGTAAATTTGAATCATTTCATGTTTCTCAATCATGTTTCTTTATCGTTTTTTAAACTCTAATTGTTATTTATTCCTTTTCCAAACGGTGCATCGTTGCTTTAAACTAAAAAAAGAAGACTTTTCAGTATTTAAATTTTGTCGGCTAATGTGCAAAATGTTGTCTTTTCTTTTTCTTTTCTTTTCTTTTCTTTTCTTTTCTTCTTTTTCTTCTTCTTTTTCTTTTTTTTCCCTTCTTTTTCTTTCTTCTTTGGCTAGAATTTGTGATATTTTGATGATAAATCGTTTTTCTTTTTTCAGATAAACACAAAATACTGATTAACAACGCAAAAAAACTTATGGAATTGAAATTTAGGGAGAGAAAAGATTTTAGAATTAAGTCCAATAGAAATGAGACATTTTGAAGTCTTTCTAAAGCACAAACCAACATAATGGCAATTCGGTTCCCAGCTTTTTTCGCTGTTTTTGATTCGGCTTCCATTTGGTTTTCATTTGGTTTCATTTTGGTTTCCATTCGGCTACGATTCAGCTCCGATTCGGCTCCTATTCGGCTCCTATTCGGTTTCCATTTGGTTCCATTTGGTTCCATTTTGGTTTCCATTCGGCTCCAATTCGGCTTTCTTTCGTCCTTTCATTTGGTTTCCATTCGGCTTCCATTGACCGGCTTCCAACCGGCTTCCATCCGGCTTCCAACCGGCTTCCATCCGGCTTCCATCCGGCTTCCAACCGGCTTCCATCCGGCTTCCAACCGGCTTCCAACCGGCTTCCATCCGGCTTCCTTTCAACTTCCATTCGGCTTCCTTTCAACTTCCATTTGGCTTCCTTTCAACTTCCATTCGGCTTCCATTCGGCTCCTATTTGGCTTCCATTCGGCTTCCATTCGGCTCCTATTCGGCTTCCTTTCAACTTCCATTTGGCTTCCTTTCAACTTCCATTCGGCTTCCTTTCGGCTTCCTATTCAGTTCCAATTCCATTTTCGTCCTATTTTGGTTGCCAATTCCATTTTGTTTCCAATTGGGTTCCATTTTGGTTTCCATTCGGCTCCGATTCGCTTCCCATTCAGATTTCATTTGGTTCCCATTTCTGATTTGCTTCCGATTCGCTTCCCATTCGGTTCCTATTTGGCTCCCATTCAGTTCTCTTTCGGTTTCCAATTGCCTCCCATTCAGATTTCATTTGATTTCCATTTCTTATTTGCTTCCGATTCGTTTTCTATTTCTATTTCGTTCCTATCCGGCTCCCATTCGATTCTTATTCGGCTCCCTTTCGATCCCTATTCTGTTCCTATTCGGTTCCGATTCGGTTTTTATTCGGCTCCCTTTCGATTCTTATTCAGCTCCCTTTCGATTCCCATTCGATTCCTATTAGGTCCCCTTTTGATTCGCATTCGATTCCCACTCTGTTTGGTTCCCATTCTGTTCGGTTAGGTTCCCATTCAGTTCTCTTTCGGTTTCCAATTGGTTCCGATTCGGCGCCCATTCGGTTTTCATTTGGTTCGCATTTGCTTCCGATTCAGTTGAGATTCGGTTCCCATTTGGTTTCTATTCGATTCCCTTTCGGTTTTGGTTCTTATTTGGTTCTGATTTGGTTTCTATTTGGTTTCTATTTGATTCCCTTTCGGCTTTGGTTCCTATTTGGTTTCTATTCGGTTTCTATTCAATTCCCTTTCGGTTTTGGTTCTTATTTGGTTCCTATTTGGTTCCTATTTGGTTCCTATTTGGTTCCTATTTGGTTCCCATTTGGTTTCCATTTGGTTTCTATTTGATTCCCTTTCGGTTTTGGTTCTTATTTGGTTCCTATTTGGTTTCTATTCGGTTTCTATTCGATTCCCTTTCGGCTTTGGTTCCGATTTAGTTCCCATTTGCCTCCGGTTCGGTTCCGATTTAGTTCTGATTTAGTTCTGATTTAGTTTCCATTTAGTTCCCCTTCGATTGCCCTTCGATTCCCCTTCGATTCCCCTTCGATTCCCCTTCGATTCCCCTTCGATTCCCCTTCGATTCCCCTTCGATTCCCCTTCGATTCCCCTTCGATTCCCCTTCGATTCCTATTCTGCTCCCATCCGATTCCCATTTCTTTCCCATCTTTCTATCTGTTTATAAATCTCTCTCGAAAGAAAATTGAGCGATCATTTTTCCATTATATAAACAAAAATCGATGGCTTTAAACGGTCCCTTGAAAAAGAAATGAGAAATTGCTGCTGAAATTGCTTTTTGCTTAAATTCTAGTACGAATCTCTCGTACTTCTTGATGAAAATTTCTCTTTTTTAAGCTATAGAAGGTTCCTTTTCTTTCTTTTGAAAAAGTTGAAGAATAAAATGAGAGCAGCGTGGGAATCTGGGGATTTGCGATCTTTTTTGATGTTTCACTAGAGCTTTTATGTTAAATCTTTCACTAAAATTCGTTTTCTAATTGAATAAATGAATAAAGAAGGATAAGTTTTTGGTTTTTTAATAAGAGATTTTCAATTGGATAACTTATTAGATAACCAAATAATTTCTGGTACTCTCCCAGTAGACTCCCACAGCATCAATCCCATTATACCCCCCACATCATCTCGTTTACCACAAGCTATAGACTCTAAAATCGACCATACGACCCTACGATCGAATTGAAATCAAGCGGATTGAAATCACATACAGAATGTCCCTGTTTTTACCTGTTTTATCGCTTTCTTTAACCTGTTTTATCTCTTTTTTTCTTTACTGATAACTAAATTTCTTTTCTATTGGCTTTTTTTCAGGATGAAACCACAATTTCGATGACTCTCGACGATGCCGATGACGATACAATGATGATGGTAAATCGATGACGATACGATGACGATGCTAAATCGATGATGAAGATTTCGTGCCTCAAC